GGGGGGAGGGGAATTTATCAAAACTAGAGCAGACAGAATCTGGAGCAGTTCCTTATAGTCGTCAATCAACTTCTCTCTTCAATACGTTCAGTTAAGCTTTAAAAATGAAAGATAGAAGCTGATTGGTTGCCTTGGACAGCTGTTCCACATTCTGTCTGTCTGCTCCACATTCTATCTAGTTTAAAAAAAAATCCCCTCATTGTACATTGTAGCAGTATTTTACTCTGAGGTATATCTATCTATATTTATATACCGTGTTTCCCTGAAAATAAGACACTGTCTTATATTTTTTTGGGCTCAAAAAAACACACTAGGTCTTATTTTCGGGGTAGGTCTTGGTTTTATTTATTTTTTTAATGTACAACAATCCACACCTATTCATGTACAAAAATATGGTGATCAGGGCAATCAGGGGTGCCGTACCTTTCCAAAACTAATTTGCTAACCAATCGCTGGCCAGAATGAGCAAAGCGCACTTTCACTATAGATTCCTCACAGGCGCAGTGCATTTGGTATCACTCCGCCTGTGACAGGAGCCGGCGCTATAGAGGAAGCATCGGCTTATGCGGCTCTGCTCCCTCCGCTGCCGCCTCCCTTCCTCTAGCGCTGGCTTCGTTGGCACCGCTGATTCTCTCCCGCCGCTCTTCAAGTTCCCCCTTATGCCACCACCGGCCCTGGGAATGGTCACAACTGGGTCTTATTTTCGGGGTAGGTCTTATATTTTAGCAATTCCCCAAAATAGTACTAGGTCTTATTTTCAGGGTAGGTCTTATATTTGGGGAAACAGGGTATATATATATATTGTATATATACACAGATTTTCCACCAGGCCATCTAGGGCCCGGCCTCGGGACAACAGCGTGTAGAGGGGCAGCAGGTGTGTGAAATTCCTATCCCCTGATGCCCGGGACATGTAGTTCCGGGCGCTGGGCGGGTAGTTGTTTTCTACATTTAGCCCTGCTTTGGGCAAGCAAAGAATCATCACATCAAGTACTCTCTGCACCATTGAGGACCAACGAGCACCAGAGAAGAGGACCCTGGCCATCACAAGATTACAAAAAGATTACAAAAAATGTATCAGCAGCATGCACTATAAATACAAGCTTGGGGATGGTGGGACTCCAAGGAGGATGACTGGAGGGTGGCTGTGGATTGGGCTTCAAGGGGATCTTCTACAGAGAGATATTGCTGAGTCTTACCACCTCCTGAAAATGCCAACCAAATGTCTGTCTCTGTGTTCAATCTTTATTAAATCACCAACCCTGGATCAGGAGTATCGGACTATAGTCAGAACCTTTGCTAATTTGCATACTTGCTCAAGATTTAATGAATTAAATAAGTAGTCCCAAACTCCATTTATTGAGAGCAGAAGCACACTAAAAATGTAAACTCCACAAAGTTAAAATTTTATATAAAACACATTCAAAAGGGACTTTGTATGAAGGTAGATGATATCTATGATATGACATTTGTAATGATATAATCTTATCTCTCTGTAGGATCTGCGGCGTTGAGGGACCAATGGCCGAATTCACAATAAGAGTATATAAGAACAGAGACTACAATGCGGTCCGGATATTGTTTACCGAGGGGATGCTGGAACACATTCCAGCCACCTGTGCCTACATGTTGAAGCTCTCCCGGGCCCAGTTTATCCTTTTCATTTCCTTCATCAGCCTCCTTTTGGTCTCCAGGTCCTACCTGCTTTCATTATTCAGCTTGGCTGTTGTGTTCATGGCCGCTCGCCGTCAACTGACCAAAGAGTACCACCAGTATGTAGACAGGTGTCAACGTGAAGACTTGCTGGACATTGAGGAGTCCTACATGGCCAGCAACAACTCCTGCTTCTGGGTGGCAGAGTCCAACGGCCGAGTTGTTGGGATGGTCGCGGTGCAATCGGTACCTCATTCTAGCGAAGCGATGGTGCTCAGACGTCTGTCGGTGGCCAAAGACCAGAGGCACAAGGGCATCGCCAAAGCCCTGTGCACGAAAGTCATTGACTTTGCTCGTCAACGAGGGTACAAAATGTTGACATTGGAGACATCGATGATACAACTCGCGGCTCATAAATTATATGAAACACTGGGATTTGAGAAGACCGACGACAAGGTCATCCCGTCCCTCCTCGGAAGATTTGCAAACTTCTCCATCCTGACTTACGAATATAAAATCAAAGATGAATAGGCAGACAGGGACAGATAGGGGGACGGTCTGTCACAATAAGAAGGTTATTTTTACACAAAGATGGAATGAGCGTGAGATTAAAGTATAAATATTTATTTTGGAACTATTTGAAGTTTTCTAGAACTTTTATCACTGAAGACATAAATGGCGGCTGCATGGCTTGTGTTACGGTGAAAAATGCCTGTAGGTGAAATTTTTCAGCTTTGGATGAAGTAAGGAAGGGTTAGAACCTCTGTCAACTCTCTTTTTCTGTATGTGTTCCCACTAGAAGTGTTCCCCTCTCCATTCGTCCTGGTGATCATTGCCACGGGGACAGAAAGTGATGGGAAACAGGAGGTAAGAAGTTACCTTCCTTTTCCATTGACAACTGTCCAAGAGGAAATTTCACTTCATTTTGGGGAGGCTTCCTCTTACTTCCTGTTGTGTCTCTATGATAGGAAATGAAGCGAAATCCTCCAAATGGGAAATAAATAAATAACTCTGGTGGTGATGATAGCAATGCCATGCCCTACCCATAAGAAAATAAGTTTGGGCTTTAGATACACTTTAGTAGTTTTGTGTGGAAGGCTATTAATGTACCAACCGGTTCTTTTTGGAGTTGTGGGAGGAAAATAGAGTTCCCGGAGGAAGCACACACAAAAAACAACAAGAACAAACAGACTGCATGTAGTGTAATTGATTGGGATCAAACCCCGGACCTCAGAGTTGCAAGGCAATTGTTGCTTATTGAATGTCTTTGATGGTGTATGGAGCATAAATTAGGGCACCTACCTGTTCACAGTACTATAGCCTTTTTTTACACTACCTGGAGTCTCCCGTATAGCTTGACATCCACTGACACCATTTCATTGGCATTTCCCATATTGATTAGCATCACCAGACCCATTAGGCTGAATCAGTTCTCATCATGAGCTATTGATCTGGTTTAATAGCCTTGATGATGCATCTCTTCCACCACTTTGAGCTCCCATGCCAGTCTAAGTTCACAGCAAGACTTTGGTTCTCATCATCGCCTCTTCCTTCTTCATATATAAACCTTTATTGTGCAAATGGCACAGAGACGCGCCACCCATTCCTTCCTCTGACATACACTATATTGCCAAAAGTATTGGGATGCCTTTACACGCACATGAACTTTAATGGCATCCCAGTCTTAGTCCGTAGGGTTCAGTATTGGATTGACCCGCTCTTTGCTGCTATAACAGCTTCAACTCTTCTGGAAAGGCGTCCACAAGGTTTAGGAGTGTGTCTATGGGAATGTTGGACCATTTGTGAGGTCAGGTACTGATGTTGGAGAAGAAGGCCGGGCTCGCAGTCTCCCTTCTAATTCATCCCAAAGGTGTTCTATCGGGTTGAGGTCAGGACTCTGTGCAGCCCAGTCAAGTTTTTCCACACCAAACTCGCTCATCCCTGTCTTTATGGACCTTGCTTTGTGTGCAGGTGACTCTAGAGTCCAGTGGCGGCGTGCTGTACACCACGGCATCCCACGCTTTGCATTGCACTTGGTAATGTAAGGCTTCATGGAAACCCATTCCATGAAGCTCTCTATGCACTGTTGTTGTGCCAATCTGAAGGTCACACGAAGTTTGGAGGTCTGTAGCTATTGACTCAGCAGACAGTTGGCAACATGTGCGCACTGTGCGCTTCAGCATACGCTGACCCCGCTCTGTCATTTTACGTGGCCTACCACTTCCTGGCTGAGTTGCTGGTGTTCCCAGTTGCTTCCACTTTGTTATAATACCAGTAACAGGTGACCGCGGAATATTTAGTGGCCAGGTAATTTCACAGATCACTTGAATCCAATGATTTGGAGGGGCGTCCCAATACTTTTGGCAATATAGTGTATTTGGCCACCTACAGTACAGTTCATCTCTCCGATTAGGCCTCTATATGGGGGTGCAACATGTCAGAGAAAAGAATGGGCGAAGTGTCTTTTTTGCCGTTCGCAAAATAGAGTTTAGTATGTGGAGGAAGAAACAGTATTTGGTTTTATGATTTTTTTCCTATTGTATAGTCTTGCTGATGCTTGAGAACCTCAATGGGTCGGTCATTTGGTGACAGGCCCGCAATACAAAACTTGACTAAAATTTAGCCAGGCTTAGTAGAAGTGGCAACATCAGGAGATAAAAGGGATGTTCATGAAAGTAAATTATGTGTTCTTCTGCACAGAATGTAACTTGGACACGGTTGAGAATGAAGGGAAAGACCCATCACATTTGGGCCCCCAGACTGCCCAAGAGGAGTTGCATGCTTTGATCTGCTCTAGGTAACCCCTTAGCTATAAGTGTCCTATAACCCATACGTATGCCTTTCTCCTCTCCTTCTGTGAAGAGAGGACCTCTTATAGATGTCCAGACACTTACAGAAGCTGTGTTTTTTAAATAGATAAGTTAAGTGTCTTGGGTTTAATTCCCGCCAGTTTGTATGTTCTCCCTCTTGTGTGTCTCCTCTGCTTGCTCAGCACGGACAAGTCATAATCATAGTGGTGGCCTAATGGGCTCCCAATAAAGCAGCTTGCCATGGCATGTGTGCTCGCAGCATATTGTTTGAAATATTAGAATGTTAGCTCCTTTGGGGGCAGAGAATGGTGTGAATGCCTCTATGTAATCTGTTAAGCTCTGCAAAAACTTTTGTTGCTATAAAATAATAAATAAATATTGAAAGGCCCCATGAAGGAACTTTGATGCACCATCATTGATCCCACCTTTAGGCTGGACTTGACTGCCATAGAGATTATTCCTAGTGTGGAAATTCTGAGAGCGTGGAAGACTGAGTGAATGAAATAAGAAAGAATAGAAATAGGTCTCCACCTCCTTCCCCTCCCCCACTGTGCTAAAACCTAAACTGGCAATAAAACCCTCTGTAGCGCTTATGTTTCAGCAAATCAGTGCCCTCTCCAGCTACAGGTGCAAGAACAATCACAGCTGAGGGTCAAGTGGGTGCAGTGGTCAGGCAAAGCTGATTGATTGGCTAGCCCTACCTCGTTGCTACCCTTGGTTGTATCCTGAGAATGTCGGGGGGGGAGGACATGTCTGCCAAACTTTGCTTCCTATAGAGTAGAGAAGGGTTCCAACCAGTGGCGTAACAATCGTCATAGCGACCCAGGCGGCCGCTATGGGGCCCGGGAGACCCAGCCAGGACATCCCATGATGCTGTGCAGGCCGCCTGGGTCGCTATGGTGTCTCATGCTGCTGGCTGTTACTGGCGGCTGGGAAGAGGAACACACCGCTGTTCAGATCACTGTCAGTGATCTGTGCAGCGGCGCATTCCTCTCCCCAGCCGTTGCTGAGTCTGTGACAGCCAGCAGCGGCGGGGGAGGAAGCTGGATCCTGCAGTGGAGGAGGAAGCGGGGGCCCGGCAATGAAGGAGGAGGCGGGGCCCGTCAACGTAGGAGGCAGGGCAGGCGGATAGCGGATGACAGGTAAGGGGTGTGACAAGGAAGCATGAAGCCGGCTTCCCAGCCAATCACAAAACTCCGGGTGCCACGTCAATACACTGTCTCCATGCTCCCTCGTCAGGAAGCTGGTCAACGTGTAATGCTTCGCTGTCCGGCTTCCTGATACCGGAAGTATCACGCTAGGCATCGGAGCATTTGGGTGAGTACGAGTACTCGCCAAATACTGGGCATTGGCACCGATTCCTATACTAGTATCGGTATCGGTGCCTCCCTAATCTGAACAATTTTCTAATAGTTAATGAAGTTAAATCGACGACTGATTATGACCATAGTGGCATAAGGATTTGAAGAAGTAGGATGGACATTTTTCCTCCAGCAGACAACATTCTAACAGTGAATTTGGTTTTGGCCCAAAGAAATTCCATTTCTTCCAAAATCCAATGTTAATATCAAACGAAAATTGAGCACAATTTTGACGGACATTCTACAGGTCTCTTATGGGATCGTCAAATTTTCTGATCAGATTTTTCGCATGATAGTTTATTTGAAAACTGCCAGCGTGTGGCCTGCTTGGCCGCTCCAAGCTCACTACCGGGATGGACTACAATCTCAGGTTTAGTTTACTAATTTGTATTGAGATTGTAGTCCATGCCGTGAGCGAGCTTGTATCACTCGGCTGTAGATCCTCCAATCATCTGTGAATTGGTGCTGACACTGTCCTTCCTTCTGGAGGGGGGCTACTTTTGTTCCCCATTAGACGTGTGCGATTTGTTTAGTTCCAAATCAAAATTTTCCGAAATTCAGACATTTTCACACATCCGATTTTCCGAATCCCAAATCCCAATTTCCAAATCCCAATGCATCCGAATTGTTCCCCATTAGACATCCTCCAGGAGGAAGGACAGTGTCAGCACCAAATCAGAGATGATTGGAGGATCTACAGCCGAGTGATCTTACTGCACAGGGAGAGGGGGATCTGTGAATGGCAAAGATCCTGGGGTCTGCTTTCAGCCCTTCCTTAACAGCACCCTAATGGGGGCCCCTTCCTACCCCCAGGCCCCATAGTAGCCTTGTGGTTTGCTGTGGCTATTGTTATGGCACTGAGCAATGCCAGGGAGAAGTCTGAATGCACATGTGCACCATGAACAAGGAATACAGCATGACAACAGGAAATTCAGGATTCCTAATAAATACAATCTGTTTGTTGCTGTAAGTCATTCACCAGCCCGGCCACCATAACGCAGCTTCCCGGGTAGGACTTCAGTCTATGGAACTGAGAGGCAAAGTTCAAAGGCGACACGTAGATGAGGAACACACCGCGGTGTCTATGAAGAGAAGAGGAGCTGCTGCAGGTCAGACTCGGGGATTGTATTATCTGTCTCTTCTCTTCCATCATATTTATTATAGGGAATGTTTCCAGTCTCTGCATTGCAGATCTGATTTCCTGTGTGCTGTACTCACAATACAGAGGGACGAGGAGGTTGAGGATCTACTCAGAGCAGCAGAAGGGTTAATGCGTGGACAGGGGGCAGATTATTCCTGCATTAAAGCTGAACTCCAGGCATACAGGAGACCTGATTTGCCTCTGCTGCAGTTAAATAGCACTTATTGGTCTTGTCCCTGCCCCCCTGCCTG